ATAGAACCCAAGTCTAAACAGAAAATTTATTTATGATTTATATAGACTTATACACATAGCCTTATACACATAGTTAGTTTTACATGATCTCTTAGCATGTCTAACATTTCTTAAAATGTTTTTTAGTTGTAGATGGACATAATATCTTTATTTTTATTTATGTATTTTTATGTGGTGCTGAGGATTGACATGGGCTAGGAAAGCTCTCTACCACTGAGCCACGACCCAAGCCCAAGTGTCGTGGCTAACATTTTAATTGCAACACATCACCTGAGGTGAGCTGTGGAATTTTCCACTTATGCCATCATTTCAGCACTCAAAAATTTGGGATTTTGGAGCATTTTGGATTTCAGACTTTCACATCAGAGATGCTCAGCCCGTGTAAAGTTTGGGTTATTCATTGACTATCAGGCGTGGATGTCGGATAGGCTGTTGGATATAATCATCAAACATTTGGGAAATAACCTCATATAGAGAGAAGGCAATCCATATATTATTATCAAAAGAGGAAGCAGCAGAAACAAACTAAGAATTTTACTTAAAATTTCCAAACAAGACCTACAATTGTTAAGAAAAAAAAAAGGAAGATCAGAATAAGGTCACAATCTGCCAAGCTTGGTGGTGCGTGCCTGTAATCCCAGCAGCTTGGGAGGCTGAGGCAGGAGGATCACAAGTTCAAGGCCAGCCTCAGCAACTTAGTGAGGCCCTGTCTCTAAATAAAACATAAAAAGAGTTAGGATGTGGCTTAGTGGTTAAGTGCCCCTGGGTTCAATCCCCAGGACCAAAACAAAAAACGTCACAACCTACCAACAGTAGGATTGAGTAGCACACTTGAGACTAATTATTGGAAAAATCATCAAGACATGGTTCTTTGAAAACTTAAGAAAATCACTATTTTATTATCAAAAATAAACAAATATCAACAAGAACAAAGACAAGGAAAATTTATAATAAATTAAAAAACTGGTTATTTTTAATGATCAAGAAAATTTTATGTAAAATTGCACAGAAATACATTTGGAAGCTCCCGTGAAATTTACTCTTATTATTTTTTTAAAAGGCTAATAAAATAAGGTATGAAAGAATTTAAACCCTATCAAGGTTGTTTTTAAAAGTTATCCACGAACACCCAAGTGGCACCTGGCCCTGGCGGATTCATGGAAAGATTTTTCCCAACCTTTCAAGCAGTACTATAAATTGTCCCAGGAAAAAAACAATTCATTGTACAAAACAGACTTTGTCTTGATAATTCATGCATAACAATTCTGAATAAAATACTGAAAATAAAACATGAATTGTTGAGAACCTAAATTCTGTTCCTATATCCAATGAAGTAAAAGGAAATAGCCAGAAAGAGGTCTCCACCATCAGGGAGCCCACAGTCTAGTTGGGGGGAAAGGATCTAGACAAATATAAGGCAATCTGGCTGTTTCTAAGGTATAGGAGAGGAGCGGAGAGACAGCAATTAAACAGGTCCAGTTGTCACTCTTGAGGAATTTGTGGTTCATCTGAGAACTGTGCTCCTGAGACTCACAGTACAGAAAAGCACCATTGCTTAAGAAGGTCATGAATTGGGGAAGGCTCCCTGGAGGACATGCCATTTGAGTAAGGCCCTGCAGGAAAACTTTGGTGATGAAGAGTATGAGCATTGGAGTCAAGTAAAAATGAAATCAAATTCCAGCTCTCCAGTGTCCTTGCTGTGTGATTTTTGGGCAAATGACTTTCTCTTCCTGGTCCTCAGCTTGTAAAATGAAGCCTCTCACTCTGTCTGTGGGTTAATGTGAGAACTACCTTGCTGTGGTCTGGATGTGATTGGACTGAGTCCCCCCTTCCCTAAGGTTCCTATGATTGTTGGCTGGTCTTTGGAATGACGCTATTCCGAGATGCTGTGGCGCCTTTAAGAGGTGGGGCCTAGTGATCCTTAAATCAATGGGAGGGCTTCTGCAGTTCCTTGAGCCTTCATTGGCTGGCTGAGCAAGCCTGGACCCGCCCAGCTCTCAGCTCCTGGCTGGAAGGCAGTGGGGTTGCTCCTCACCCTCCGACCACCACGAGGTGGTGCAGACCAGGGAGGCCTCGCTGAGCCTGAGCTATGCAACTTGAGCTTTTAGCTTCCTACACTCTAAACCAAACAAACCTCTCTTTTTCATAAGTAGCTTGTGTCGAGAATGTGGTGAAAGTCACAAAAAGATGACTAATATATACTCTAAAGGAGAAACGTGCAAAGTGCCACCCATACAGGTGCCACTCACGGGGTTTAAAAGACCCAAGCAGCAAGGTGCGGTAGCACACACCTGTGATCCCAGCAACATGGGCGTGAGGCAGGAGGATCGCAAGTGGTCAGCCTCAGCAATGTAGTGAGCGCTAAGCAACTTAGTGAGATCCTGTTTAAAATTTTTAAAAAGGGCTAGGGATGTAGCTCAGCGGCAAAGCACCCCTGGTTCAATCCCCAGTTCAGGAGAAAAAAAAAGAAAGAAAAGAAATCCCCAAACTGATGAAATTCTAAAGGAGATTCTAGAGAGGCCTGGTCTTCTAGAATTTTCTGCAGTGATGGAAATGTTCTATACCTATACAGTCCAATATGACAGCCACCAACCACATTTGGCTATTGGGCCTTTGAACTATGGCCAGTAAACCTGAGGACTAAATTTTAAACTGCAATTAATTTTAATTTGGATAGTCATAGGTGACTTGTGATCACCAAATCAGGCAGCATAGATGAGACAGGCATTCCAGGCAGCAGTGCCAGCTTGAGAAAAGGCCCAGAGGCACGAAAATAAGACAGCCCAGGCAGTTTGTATGAGCTCCCTGTGGCTGCTGTAACAAACATAGCCACTGAAAACAATATGACCTGTTCTCTTAAGATGTTGGCAGTCAAAAGTGTGAAGTCAAGGTGTTGGCAGGTCTGCTTTCCTTCTGGAAGTTTGGGAGAGAATCTGTCCCTGACTTTTTTCAGCTTCTGGAGGCCACCTGCATTCCTTGGCTTGTGGCTCCTTCCTCTTGTCACTGGAGGCTCTGCTTTGGTTATCACATCTTCTGCTACTGACTCAGATCTCCTACTTTACTCTTTAAAGGACCCTTGTGATGAATTTGGGCCCACCTGGACAGGCCAGAATAATGTCCCCATCCCTAACTTCATCACATCTGCAAGTCCCTTTTGCAATGTAGGGTTTCACAGCGCCAGGGAATTAGGATGTGCACAACACTGGCAGCCATTATTCTGCCTCCTATGGGGTCTGAGAAGCTAGAGTGGAAGTGGTGGAGAGAAGCCTCGAATGCCAAGCCAAGGAGTTTGAACATGGCCTTTTGTCAAAATAGCCTCCCAGTACCTCTGCTCTACCACCCTGACCACCTCTTGCATGGACTATTGCAGTAACCTCCTCACTTGGCTCCTTACTTCCTGCTTCCTTCTCTAGACATCTCCACCAGCAACCAGAGAGGGGTTTTATTAAAATCTAAGTCAGTCAAGACACTCAGAGTAGGGAACTTGGAAAAAAATACTGAGTGCTCTGTGTTTGAATTGTAGATAAACAACAAATAATTTTTAGTATAAGTAGGGCCAAAATATTTCCTGGGACTTACTAGGCAAGTGCTCTGCCATGAGCTCTGCCTCCAGCCACCTTAGGGCCTTTACACATGATATGCTGCTGGTTCCTCTGCTTGGAACAATTTTCTCCCAGTTATAAGCACAACTCCTGCTCCCCTTGTGTAGGTTTGGGCTCAAATATCACCTTACCCCAGAGACCTTTTTTGACTGACATCTCCTGCCCCATCCAGTCCCGTTTGTCTCTTTTAGGTTTCTTAGACTTATCACCCTTCCCATATTCCATGTTCATTTATTTGCTTATTGTCTGTCTTCCTCCCTTACAACATCAGCTCTCTGAGTGCAGAATTTGTGTCTGTCCTGGTCACTACTGTACCCTGATGCCTATATCAGGGCCTGGCATACAGCAAGGGCCTATGAATGTTCTTTGAATGAATGGAGAAAATGAAACTCCTGGATCCAGCTTTGCCTGAAGCTATTTGTGAAATGGAATAGAAGATTAAAAAGCCAATGTCCCTCTTGCCTACACTTCCATCTCTGACACCAGATCATGACTGGTGAATACCTTGCTTACTGCATTTTCCTCCTCATCCTGAGACTCCCTCAGGGCCCAGTGACAAGCAGCTGGCAGTGACCGTCGCAGTTGAGCCCGCCCAAAATATAGGAAGAGCATAGGATTGAGGCAGCTGTGAGCAAGGGCCAGGCCCACGACCAGGGGTTCAGCGCGGAGGGCCCGGGCCAGGAGCGTGGAGTTTGGGGCAGCCACGGTGAGGACCAGCCCCAGGATGTGGTAGGGGGCCCAGCAGACGAAAAACCCCACCATGACCGCCACGCCCAGAGGCCAGTGGCGTCGGGTCACTCGGCACAGGAGGGCACCGTGGCAGCCGGCCACGAACACCAGGGGCCCCAGGAAGCCGAAGATGAAGCGCAGGGCGGTCACGGCGCCCTCGGCCGCGGCGGAGCCCCCATAGTCCACCACGCACAGGAGCCGGGCGGGGAAGTGCTCCTGGTGCAGGCGGCGGTGCAGCGCCGAGGGCGCGGTCAGCAGCAAGGCCAGCGCCCAGGCCGCGCCCTGCGCCACCCGCACGGCACGAGTCCGCTGAGCCGCTGCCCACCAGGTGGGCCCGAGGGCCAGCAGGCAGAGGTCAGCGCTGAGGGCGGCCAGCAGCAGGACGCTGGCGTACATGGACAGCAGGATGGCCGAGGGCAGCAGCCGGCACCCCGCGGCCCCGTAGGGCCAGTGGCCTTCCCGGGCGATCGGCACCGCCAGGATGGGCAGGGACAAACAGCACAAGAGGTCGGCCACGGCCAGGTGCAGGAACCAGGTGGCCCCAACCCTCCGGCTGGCCTCCTTCCCCGCCACCCAGGCCACCATGACGTTGCCCGGCACGCCCAGCAGGAAGACCGCAGAGTACAGCAGCAGAGGGGCCACGCGGATCGTGTCGGTGGAGAGGCAGGCGCCGTCCGGGCAGTCCACGGGGACATCCAGAAGGTCACTGTAGTCCCCGTACTCGTAGGGGTAGCTGAGCGAATCGTTCTCCATTGGGGTCCAGACACCTGGGCGGGAGAGACACCCAGGGAAATTTCAGAGAAGAAAACTCCCAAGGCCTTGGGAATCCTAGAAGCTCCTCCCTCAGCATCCTGGAGACATGCATGCCCGTGCTTAGACCACTGGCTTCTAACCAGGGTTTAGAACTCACGCCTCGGAATTCTGGAATATTGCACCCCTGGGATTCAGACCATCAGAAGATTCTAATCCTTTTTTTCTTTTTCTTTGTTTCTTTTTGTGAACCTAGAGGCACTCTACAACCTATATCCCCAGCTCTTTTTATTTTTTATTTTGGAAAAAAAAAAATCTCACTAAGTTGCTGAGGCTGGCTTCTAACTTGCTATCCTCCTGCCTCAGCCTCCTGATTCGCAGAGATTCAGGCATGTGTCACTGTGCCCAGTACAGAAGACTGGAACTCCTGAATGCCAAAACGTTAGAACGCTGGCTGGTGCGCATCCTGGAGTCCTAGGGTATCGTATCTTTAGAACTCCAACAGCTTAGAACATTGGGATTCTAGAATGGGAATACACTGGAGCAGGAGCTCCTCAGTATGGTGGAATCCTAGAACATCATGTTAGAACTCTGTCAAGGAGGCCACCACACCCAGCTTTATTGACAGATTCCAGTGCCTCTGGAGGCCAAGCAGGAGGATCATAAAGTCAAAGCCAGACAGAGGCGCTAAGCAACCCAGTGAGACCCTGCTCTAAATAAATACAAAATAGGGCTGGGGGTGGGCTCAGTGGTCGAGGGCCCCTGGGTTCAATCCCTGGTACCAAAGAAGGAGAAGGAGAAGGAGAAGAATTCTATCACAATAAAAATCTTGGAATTACAAAATATTAATTTACTAGAACCTTAGCCAATTATTACTTGAGTCAGGAGCATCACTTGAGCCCCAGGAATTTGGAACCAGTGTCGGCAACATAGCAAGATCCCATCTCAAAAGAAAGAAAAAAAAAGGAAAGAATTTCCTCTTATAATTATAAAAAATAAAAATAAAAGTGAGAAGCAATTGAAATGAAATAGTGTACTCTGTTCATCAAGAGGGGGAAACGGCTGTCTGTATTCACAATGGAAGTATTTATCTTAGTTCTTCTTCATCTGCATTTTCTAATCTTGATACAGTGAAAATGTACACATAAGCAATCTTCTCATCCTTTTTTAACATAAATGAGATCAGAGTAAAACACGGGCTGGGGATACAGCTCAGTTGGTAGAGTGCTTGCCTTGCATGCACAAGGCCCTGGGTTCAATCCCCAGCACCACAAAAAAAAAAAAAAAAAAAACCCTTGGACCTGAGTGCTCATGTCACAAAGGTCCAGCTTTCTGGGTTTCGTATCCTGAATATACCCATATAACTGGCTCACAGATGGAGAACAATTGAATCCTACTACTTGTAATTCTTAAAAGCAATGATAAGCCGGACATGGTGGTGATTACACCTATAATCCCAGCAGCTCAGGAGTCTGAGGCAGGAGGATCATGAGTTCAAAGCCAGCCTCAGCAAAAGCGAGGCACTAAGCAACTCAGTGAGATCCTGCTCTAAATAAAATACAAAATAGGTCTGGGGATGGGGCTCAGTGGTTGAGTGGTGTCCCTGAGTTCAATCCTCAGTATCCCAAAAATGAATAAATAAAAAAGCAGTGATAATATTGGAAAGGTGGGACACATAAAATATGAATTCTCGACAATTCTCTCATTCACAAGACACAGTTCCTGAGCACTTGTTCTGTTCCAGGTGCTGTTCCAGGCACTGAGGCGCCTGAGCAGGCCAAGACAGACAAAAGGCTTTCCCCTGGGAGTTGACCCTGCAGGGGGAGGATTCAGCCGGTCAAGACAGAGATGAGCAAAATACACAGGGGTTCCTAAGGTGATAAAGGCTCTGGAGGGTGGGCATCACACAGGGAACACTTCTCTGAGTTGGTGACATTTGAGAGGAAACTAAAGGAATTGAGGAAGGGTGCCGTGAAGATCTGGGGAAGGGTGTTCCAGGCAGAGGGAACAGCCAGTGCAGAGGCCTTGAGGCAGGAGAGCAGGGGGGCTGGAAGGAAGTGGGGGGGGCAGAGTACGTGGGTCCACTGGGCTCCTAAGGACTCTGTCTTGTATTACTAATGAGGTGGGAGATGGGAGGGTGCTGAGCAGAGAGGCAACAGGATCTACCAGCAATGATTAGGACTTCCTATTAGACGTCACCCTCTATTGGGCACCTCGGGTTGGGTCCCAGGCATTGGTCCAAGCGGCTTTGAACATTGTGTCATCCTCCTTCCTGGACCAACCCTCTGACCTTGACACTGTGGTGTTAAACCCCTTCTGCAGGTGAGGAAACCGAAGCACAACGCAGGTGACTTATCCAAGATCACTCAGGTAAGGAGAGGACAGAACCGAGTTTCTACCCCTGTCCGCCCCTCTCTGGAGCCTGGGCCTCGGGCTGTGCGTCATCCCTAACCTGAGACTCCAGGGCTGGGGAGCGACACAGCTCCAGGCCCCAGCAGATCCGGGCTCCGTAACCTGCTCTGGGGATTGCAGCGGCCCCCTCACTTCCTGCCCTGGGAAGGGAGTCACCAAGGAGGACCCCTCGCCCGTCCTGTGGGACCCTGAGGAGTCCATGCGCGCCACGCACCTGGCACAGAGTGGGACTCAACAGATGGAGCTTTGGGGACAAGAGGACCCAGGAGGAGTCCCTGACCTGCCCCATGTCAGAGTGGCCCTGTGGCTCTCTGCTGACTATTATGGGTTGGCTGGCACTGCCCAGAGCTCCAGCTGGTGCTAACATAACAGGAAGGACAGGGAGGAAGTCGAGTCACTCCCCATCCTGCCTGGCAGCCCTACGAGGTCAAGCCACATTTTGTGTTAGGCACTCTGCTGTCATCGTCCCCAGAGTGAAATGTGCACAGCCTCTGTAAACCCAAGCCCTCCCCAGTCCTCGGCCTCAGCCCCCCACCTGTAGAAGGGGGTGATGACATGCCTGCCTCCAAGGGCATTGAACGGGCACATCATGGAGGGGAGCTGCACACAGCGCTGGGCCACAGTGAGCATCACTCACCCAGCTGCCCTGGTGACCATCCACCACCCCCACCCCCACCCCTACCCCTCAGCTCCTGCTGATTAAAACCATCAAACTTCCTGCGCATAAGCAACTAGACCACTTTACAGCATTTCCTCCTGAACATTCTAAGCAGAAACCAAGACACTGGACACCCACGTCCCATCTCCTCGTCTTTTCCACTTAGTTTGTCTTGGATTGGCTTCCCGCTGTCTACACCCGCCCACCTCCTTCTTCAAAATCAGTCCGTGGCTGCATGGTCATGCCTGGTCACCAGCCTCAGACCTGGTGAGAAGGGCCTCTGGTAATAATAATGATCGTCACGAGAAGCATTATTTTATCACTTTTACGATAAGTTACATTTGTGTGTTTGTAAAGACTATGTTTACATGCTTCAATCTACAGATAAAACATGACGGCCATTATTCTTTTTGATAATTAAAATAACAGATGATGGGGCTGGGGTTAGTGGCTCAGTGGTAAAGCACTTGCCTAGCACATGTGAGGCACTGGGTTCCATTCCAGCAACACATAAAAATAAATGAATAAATAAATAAATAAAAGGTATCATGTTCAACTACAACTAAAAATTTTTTTAAATAAATAAAATAACAGGCGATATTCATTGAACGCCTATTATGTGCCTCATAACAATCCTAGGAAGTGAGCATGACATTATCCCCATTTCCCAGAAAATCAATATTATTATTATCCCCATTTCCCAGAACATCAGCCCCGCCCTGCTCTGGGCTCCACACTGTTCCCAGCATCCAGAACAGTACTCAGCACACAGTAAGTAAGTACCTGGCAACGGAAAGAAGGAAGACACGGATGGACACACAGAAACTAAGAGATTCTTTCAACCTCTCAAGGGCTGGGGATGGAACTCACGGCAGAGCCTTTGCCTAGCATGCCCGAGGCCGAGTTCAATCCCCAGCACTTCTAAAACAAACTTCCCAGTTTCTTTCAGTTTTTCAAGGTGACAAGTGCCATTAGATGTGCGTCTCTGTGCATGCGTGCTTGGCCATCTGCCAGTCTGGCTGGAACTTCTGCCCTGGGAACTCCAGGGTGGAATTCACTGCCACTGAATGTGGGGTCCTCTCCCCTGACCCACAATCCTACCCCTTCCTGGAAAAGCACGTACACGCTGGTCAAAAGCCCAGCTGGGGACACACCTGTATAGTCACACCGCGGCATGGTCTACAGCTGGGGGAGGGAACAGGGACGGAGTCCATGACATCGCATTGAGGACTGAATGATTCCATTCACATCAAGTTCAAGCACAGGCAAAGGAGCAGGCTGTGGTGGCCCACGCCCGCAATCCCAGCTACTTGGGAGGCTGAGGCAGGAAGATGGAGAGTTCAAAGCCAGCCTCAGCCATTTAGTGAAACCCCAGCAAATCAGCAAGACCCTGTCTCAAAATAAAATAAAATAAATAAATAAAAAGGACAGGGGATGCAGCTCAGTGGTTAAGTATCCCTGGGTTCAATCCTTGGTACAAAAAAAAAAAAAAGATAGAGGGACTCTGGGGTGTTAGAAGTCACGATCAACTATCTTTGAGGAGCCCCCCCTGGGACACCAGGGATGGGGTTCATGCTAAGGCTGGATACATGGGTGTGTTCCGTTTATGAAGAGTCACAGGGCTGGGGTATGACTCAGTGACACAGCCGCTGCCTGGCACATGTGAGGTTCTGGATTCCATCCCTGGCACCAAAAAAAAAAACACCATCTCAGAGCTGCAGTGCTCCGTGTGTGTAAGTCACACACCAGCGTGGACCGCCAGCCGCTGAGTCAGTCGCCAAAGCTAAAGGCTCGCTCAGCAGACTCACTGCTGTGCTCAATAGCTTCACCAGCAACTGCAAGAATTCCTGCGGGTCACAGAGGGACAAAGCACATCCGAATGTGACAAAACACGCTCCCACCTTCACAGGGGTTTTCTGGGTGGGCCGCCCAGGGCTGTGACATGAATTTCAATGTGGCCACAGTAAGACTTCCCTTCTCGTCCCAGATGCTGAAAGTAACGATCCAGGAGGCCAAGGTGGTGAAGCCCCTCCCCTCCTTCTTCCCTCCCTCCTTACCTTGTCTTCCAAAAGTGCTCGGTGTGTTCAAACACCACTTGGGATCACAAATTGGCCCTGTTTGCCGGGTTCCTATTGGATTCTCCAGGCACTGGCCCCGGCAAGGCTTTTTAACCAGGGAAAACAGGAGTGGCCTGGTCCCGGCCCCAGGGTGTGTTTGTCCTGTCTTCTTCCCATGACGCACACATACCATAATTACAGGGCAGCCGGGAAGATCGAGAGGGCTCGAGGAGGTGGAAGGTGGGTGGAAAACTGACCCCGTCCCAAACCCTAATCTTGAGGTCACCAGCTTCCTGGTGTAGTGTGACCTCCAGGGTTTGGTGGTCTTAGCTTGGCTTAGGACACACACAGCACCCTTCGAGGTCCTTCCGGCAAGAACCAACAGCCCCCTGCCCCCTGCCCCTGGCTTCCAGCTACATGTCCAGCCCTCCCTCCTGGTATCCGCAGACAGATAAATATTCAGCCTTCCGCGAATGTTCCAAGGAAAACATCCTGCCCCAAAAGGTCAAGACAGCTGAGCACTATCATCCCTTCTCTGGGCCTCAATTTTCCACCTGTAAATGGGAAGACGTTGGCCATAGTGGTTCTTATTGTGTTTTTCTTTTTGTCTTGTACCAGGGATTGAATCCAGGGGTACTTAACCACTGAGCCACATCCCCAGCCCTTTTTATGTTGAGACAAGTTCTGGCTAAGTTGCTTAGAGCCTCGATAAATTACTGAGTATGGCCTCCAACTTGTGATCCTCCTGCCTCAGCCTCCCTAGTCGCTGAGATTACAAGGTACATCACTGCACCCAGCATCATAGTGGTTCTTAACCGCCTCTCCTGTTCACCATGGCTGAAAACCTGAACTCAGGAGCCAGGATGATAAGATTCATCTTCTAGGTCCACTGTTGGTGAGTTTTAGGTCTTGGTCTCTCTGAGCCTTCACTGCCTTATCTGTGAAGCGAGAGGATGCAGTGAACACTAAATGGGTGACTGGACTTAAAACCCACAGACCGGCACCTGGCACCTGGTGCAGGTGGCACATCCCTTATCCAAAATGCTTGAGACCAGAGTGCTTCTGATTTTGGAATATTTCCTTATGCCTAATGCCAAATCTTGGGGATGTGAAAAGAAGTCCAAACACGAAAATCACTTGACGTTTCATATATAACTAGAGCCTGAAGATAATTTTTCGGGGTGGGGGGACAGTCCTGGAGAAAAAACCCACTAGCCACATCCCCAGTCCTTTTCATTTTAAGACAGGGTCTACATTTCCCAGGCTGGCCTCCTGCCTCAGCCTCTGGAGGAACTGGGATTGCAGGTGTGCACGCCACACCTCGTCCAGCTGAGACTAAAGATAATTTTATGCAGTATTTTCAGTGCATCTGTATTTTGACTGTGACTCCTCCCATGAGGTCAGGGGTGGAATTTGCCTCTTGTGGTATCCCGAGAGTATGCAAAGAGTCTCAGATTTTTGGAATATTTCAGATTTTAGATTTCCCGATTAGGGAGGTTCAGCCTGTATACAGCTAGGTACGCGTTTGTTAAATTAACAACACGAGGCCCTGGGTTCTATCCCCAGCACACAGAGAGAGAGAGAGAGAGAGAAACAAGAACAGACTAAACATTCTTGGGACACACGCACCCTGTAAGCTTCTCGAGAGGAAGTAGCCACAGCCCAATTCGAGAACCTCTTCATTTAGCAGATTTTTCTGCCCTCCCCTCTCTCTCTGCTTGCTTCAGGAGTTGAGGGGGATATTTTTATACTTTCGTTGCTGTTTGATGCTGTTTGAGAATAGAATCATGTTGCTAGAGGAAGTCATTTCTGAGTCAAGAAGCTGGAACTGGCTCTGTGACGCAGGCATCTCTGGTCACCCTCTGGGTGACACTGTCCTGGCTGAGCCTGACCCCTCCCCCACAGAGACAAACATCCCCTCGGTCCCCTCAGCAGGTCACGGAGTCATTGGCATAAGGTTCTCTGATTCTGGGTGGCAAAGTTTTTGTGGTGTCCCTGGAGCTAGAGGCTCTTACTTGGGGACACGGGGGTGAACTATGCATAGGGTCCCTACAGGCCTGGGGAGCCCTGGGGGGCTCATTCTCAGCTATCCTGTGGGGGACAGAGCACAAACCTCTCGGCCACCAGCCATTTCTTCCCAGGAGAAATCTAGAATGAGAAGATCCTAGAAAATGATCAAGTCAGCTCATGTAAAGTGGCCATTTCTGTAGGTCCAAGGAAATCATGGAAAATCCATAGACACAAGCCGATCCACAGTTTTAGGGGCTGGGGAGGGAGGGATGGAGGAGCCATTGCTTCAGGGGCATGAGGTTTCCTCTTGGGATGATGAAAATGTCCTGGAGCTAGACAGCAGTAACAATTGCACAACTGTTCACAACACGTTGAGCCTACTAAACGCCACCGATGGGAAATTTTATGGCATGTGCACTTTACCACGAGTTTTCAAAAACAACAAGTAGCCAGGTGCAGTGGCGCAGGCCTGTGATCCCAGCAACCTGGGAGGCTGAAGCAGGAGGATTGCTAGTTCAAGGCCAGCCTCAGCAACTTAGTGAGATCCCACTCCAAAATAAAAAAGTAACAGGAGCTCAGAGTATAGCTCAGTGGTAGAGCACCCCAGGTTCAACCACCAAAAAAGAAAAATAAATAAATAAATAAACGGTTACCTTCCCACACCCCAAAGTGAATTGAATCATTTTATTGGGTTCAACCTAATGGAATGACAGGAGGTTGGGTGAGCGGCTAAGATGGGGAAGCATAACCTCATTTCCCTTTCGAACAATATGCTGTCAAACAATACATATTAGGTAATACCGATGCATGAAAAAGAATGCCTTAACCTATGCTCAAGTTACTAAACACAGTCATAAACTAGACATATGAAACCACATCCTAGAGTCTTTGAATATCTAGATCAAGGGTGAGTGTCCATGTTTTGGTTGTTTTCTGGTTACTGTACCTGGCTACCACAGACTGCATAATTTGTCAAGAATAAAGGTTTATTCATCTTACAGTTCTGGAAGCTGAGAGAGCCCAGAGAGAGGAGCTGCCTCTTAGGAAGGCCCTCTTGCTGGTGGCAGCATAAGGACATCACATGGTGACTCAGGTTAAGCTCAGTTTCATTACATTAGGGCCCGACTCTTTTGGCCTGACTTAACCTTGATTACCTCCCAAACGTCTCACCTCCAAACATCAGAGACAGATTAGTTCCATCCCTCCTTATGCCTCATGATGGAGAATAAATTTCATGAGTTTTGGGGGGTCAGTCAAACCACAGCAGTTTTTCTGCAAAAAGAAAGTATATATTTTTGTTTTTGTGGGTCAAGAAGACAACCAGGGCCTGATGATAGGCCACAGACAGAACGGGCTTGACTGTGTCCAATCAAACTTTATTCACAACAACAAGTCGTGGGCCGGATTTGCTGACCCCTTGATCTAAATCAAAGACCCTGAGGTGGAGTGTTAGACCCAGAGACTCCTAGAATGTCGGAATCCCAAAATGCTGGCCCAAGGGGTCCTGCAATGGGAGTTACAGACTATTTAAATCACAGGATTCTAGAATGTTACAGCAGCCTCAGAGGGCAAGAGGCCCAGAGTTCCAGGTGTTAGATGTTAGTAATTCGTGGATGCTGCCAGGTGCACAGTGGTGCATACTTATAATCCCAGAGGCTCAGGAGGCTGAGGCAGGAGGATCACAGATTCGAAGCCAGCCTCAGCAACTTAGCAAGGCCCAAGCAACTCAGTGAGACACTGTCTCAAGACAAAAAATAAAACAACAGGCTGGGGGTGTGGCTCAGCTGGGTTCAATCCCTGGTAAAGAAGGAAAGAAAAAGGGGGGGCAGAAAGGAGGGAGGGAGGGAAGGAGGGGAGGGAAAAGGAAAAGAAGAAAGAGAGGGAGGGAGGGAGGGAGAGATGTGTAGATGTCCTGAATGTTAGCCAAGAAAGTCTCTCCCCGAGGGTCTCACACTGTAGCCACTGGCCACAGGAGACTGCTGAGCATTTCAATGAGGCAGATCCGTGGTAGGAGGTACTTTGAGTATAAAATTCACATCAGATTTCAGAGACTTAGTACATTAAAAAGAGAGAGAGAGAGAGAGAGAGACTATTGAGTTGTCTGTGTGCCGTGCTAGACCCCAGGGCAGACCCCAGGGCGTGGCACGGGCTAGGGACGCCACACGCAGCCCCAGGATGTGTTTATGTCCACATGTTTATCTCACGTGTGGAAATGACATTATCTTAAATATATCGAGTTCAATAAAATGTATTCCCCAAGTTAATTTCACCGGATCATTTTGGTTCTCTGGACGTGCCCCCTGCCTGACTGCAGGAAGTGAGGGTCTCCTCCTGACTCACATTACCTTGCTGGTGGGTGGTTCTGGTCCAGAGGGACAAGCTCCTGGCCCCTAGTCATGCGAGGCGCAGAGGTCAGTCACATGGCACTGATGGGGGTGGCTCTGGCCCCTGGCCTGGGGGACCCAGGTTCAAAGAGCAGCCCAGTGAGTGAGAACCAAGGGTCCCGGAGGCTGGGGCTCAGGGAGTGTGGCAGGGAGGACAAGCCCATCGTCCACTTCCTTCCCCCACCACTTCCCCTTTCCAAACCTGTTGACCCAGCAGATTCCCCAGGCCGCATGTTGGGCAATCCGCTGGCCTTCCAGCCCACTTCCCTCTCGGGCTGGGCTGGCCAACCCCAGGCAGATCCCACTCCCAGCCTCCGACTGTTTGCAGAAGACCATGGCAGGCCCGGATTGGGGGATGGATCTGCTTCCTGAATGGGGGAGGGAGCCTCGCTGGGTCCCACTTATTCCTCAGGTCAGGAGAGCTAGAAGGTGGCCAGGGCAGAGAAGGAATGTAGAAGAGTATGGTGTACACAGGAAGTGAGGGAGCAGGGGGGGCAGGGGGGCACTCCGAAGGAAGGCAGAGAGGGGGCAGGATGGCCTCAGAGAGACAGGCTGGGCATCCAGGAGAAAGGGGCAGGGGCCAAGCAGGGACCAGGTGGCAGAGGATGGAGGGCTCGGACCAGACAGGCAGGACGTGGGAAGAAGAGGAGGGTCAGGATGGGTCCCAGGCTCAGGCCCAGTGGCCAAGTGGACAACAGCGTTGTCCCCAAGCTGAGGAAGCAAGAGAAGAAGAGGTTTGGAGGATGCTGAGGTCAGTTTTGGTGTGGGGAGTGGGAGGGGAGGTCAGATGTAGAAAGAGAGATGTCAATGGTAGGAGGTGAAGTCACAAGAACTAGTGAGAGGAGAAGTCATGAAGAGTGAGCTCAGCTGGGTGTGGTGGTGCACACCTGTGACCCCAGCTACTTGGGAGGCTGAGGCAGGAGGAGTGCAAGTTTGAGGCCAGCCTCCACAACCTAGTAAGACCCTGTCTCAAAATAAAACATATAAAGCATCCCCGTACGGGCCACCAGATGCCGCAGTCTGGCTGGGCACAATCAGGAGCCACTTGTCAAAAGAAACTAACTTTATTTTTTGAACAAAACACGCCAAACAAACAGCCTCTCAGGAAAAACCCCTCAGAGCCTCAACTGCCACCACCGGCTTTCCACAAGCCTGTCTCTCCCCCCCACAAGCTTCTCTCCACCTCCCACAATCCTCCTGCTCTTGAGGCCGATTGGCTGGGTCACGTGGGCAGAGCCAAAAAGTCCCCCAATGAGCAGCTCCGTGGTCTGAAAGGGCAGGGAAACAGTCCAATGAGCATCACCGCAGAGGAGCCAATCAGCTAGATGTTGCTGGGGCCGAGGAGCCAATCAGCTAGATGTTGCTGGGGCCGCTGTGAGCCAATCATCAGCCGGCAGCTGGATTGCTGGCAGCTGGAAGTTTGCTGGGGCCCCTTCGGCTGTGGCTCTCAACAATAAAGGGCTGGGGGCAGGGGTGGGTGCTCAGTGGTAGAGTGCTTGCCTCGCATGGGTGAGACCCTGAGTTCCATCTTCAATGCAACACACACAAAATATAAATAAATAAAAACAAAAAGAGTGAGGTCCAGAGAGCTGGTGTTGAAGAGCAGATGTGCAAGTCAGTTTTTGTCATATAACCATGCCAAACACTCCCTCACTGTGACAGAATACCCAAGAAAATCAACTTATAAGGAGGAAAGGCAGAGGTTTTGATTCATGCTTACTTGGCCTCATTGCTTTGGGCCTGTATTGAAGCAGCATGTCACACCCAGGAACATGAGGTAGAGCAGAACCTCCTGCCTATGGTGGTGAGTAAGCAAGGAGATAAGGGGGCTTAGGGTTCCCACAGCCTGTTCAAAGTCACACTCCCATGACCCAATATTTTTTCCCCCAGGCCTCACTTCCTGAAGGTTCTACCACCTCCCAAGAGCATCATGCTCGTCTGGCTCACAGTTTGGGGGGTTCTGATTGGTTGGCCCCAGTCCTCTGTGGTGAGGCAGCCCATCATGGTGGAGCACACCGTGAAGCAAAGCCACTCACCTCAGGCCAGGAGGCAAGAGAGTGCAGAAGGGGCTGGGTCCCATGATTCCCTCCAAGGCCACGCCCCCAATGACCTAAAGGCCTCCCACTAGGCCCCACCTCCTAAAGCTCTCAGCACTGCACCCAGTGCCACCCTGGCCAAAGCCTTTAAGGGCCTCTGGGGAGCATTAGCAACGAAACCACAGGAGCAGAGAGAGAGACAGGGGAAATGAAGCTGGGAGGTAGAGGACACCAGCCAGATCAGCAGCTATCCAGTGAGGAGGAGGTAGAGGGCCATGTAGGATTAGGAGGGACTCGGAGAGAAGGATCTGCACCCCCTCACTAAAAACTAGGGGTGCCTGGAGCTCAAGTATCCTCCATCGGCCTGATCCCAAGAGGTGGACATAAGTGAACACAAGTCTCAGAGCACATCTTGTCCCAGGTACACCAACATTCACTATCAAGCAGGCACAAATATCACACGCAGTACTTGGAAGCCTGAGGTAGGAGGATCGCAAGTTTGAGGCCAGTCTCAGAAATTTAGTGAAGCCCTAAGCAACTTAGTGAGACCCTGTCTCAAAATTTAAAAATCCAAAGGGCTGGGGATGTGGCTCAGTGGTTAAGTACCCTTGGGTTCAATCCCAAGTAACAACAATAACTAATAATAATAATAATAATTGCACAAAGCCTCTGCCGGAAGCTTGACACAAGTGCTCCCTGTTGCACCAAGATGCTCAGACAGTGTCTTTAAGAGTCGTCCCCAAGGCAGCCACGAGGATGCTATTGCAAGAGCATGCTACCCTGTCTGTCAGGATCAGGCCCACGCTCAGCCAGCTCTGGCAGAGAGGGAGGGGACACCACACATGTGCCCATTGATGGAGCAGCCACCAGCTCCCAAAGGCGACTGAGCACTTGAAAAGGTTGAGGCCCATTCAGACAGGCTCTGGGTGCCACATACACAGACGGTTTCAAAGACTGAGTACCAAAGGAAAGAAAGGCAAAGAGAAAGGAATAACGGAAGGAAGGGGAAGGAGGGAGGAACAGGTTCCTTCAATATTTTTACATTGATTACAATGACGTTGAAATACTAACACTTTGCATGAGTTGGATTAAGTAAGATATATGATTGCTTAGATTGCTGTTATTTTACATGTTAGGTTTCATAGAGAGTAACACAATTTAAATGTATTGTAAATATATTAATACATACAGATCTCTGTACTTACAATAAGGTTCCATCTGTATGTAAGTTAAAAATATCTTAAGTTGGAAATGCATTTAACACACCTCACCTAGCCTCAGCCTAGTCTACCTAAGAGCACTCAGACCACTGTGTTAGCCTACAACTAGGTGATCATCTGACACACAACCTACTGAACACTAAAGTGTTGAATATCGCATGCAATTTACTGAATATTGTGCTGAACGTGGAAAAACAGAATGATAGTATGAAAAATCATAAGCCAAACCATTATAAGTTGGAGACCACCTGTATATATTATACACATTAAATATTATGTGATCTATATTTCATCTTTTATGTATCTATACTTTATTGGTATCCACATATATATACTATTCACAAAGTACAAATATATCACCAATATCATTGTTTATATGACATACAATTATAGTAGATTATTAAATATGTATTTGTCATTACCATAATGAAATACCTGGAACAGGCTACCTATGGAGAAAAGGAAGTTTATTTATTTTACTTTGTGTGTGTGTGTGTGTGTGTGAGAGAGAGAGAGAGAGAGAGAGAGAGGAGAGGAGGCGGGAGACACTGGGGATTGAACCCAGGGGTGCTGTACCACTGAGCCACATTCCCAGCCCTTTGTGCTTTTTACTTTGAGACAAGAGTCCCACTAAGTTGCCGAGGCTGACCTCAAACTTGCGATCCTCCTGCCTCAGCCTCCTGAGTTGCTTGGATTACAGATGTGCACCACCATGCCCAGGCTGAAAAGGAGATTTATTTAGGCCACCATTTAGGAGGTTCAAGGGCAAGACCTGCATCAGTTCTGGTGAGGGCTGGATTTTAATAATGGTGATGGAGACTGACCATGGCAGGAACCTGAGTCAGAGCAAGTGTTCATATCTCCCGTAGGAAACAGGACTGCATGAACCAACCCTCCCATGAGGACCACCCAGGAGTCTCCAAGAGCTTCCTTCAGAAGACAGCCCCCCCCCCCCCCCCCCGCCCCTGCACCTAAGGACCTCCCGCTGAGCCCCACCTCCCAAGGATTCCCCAGGCTCCCAAGAGCACCACCCTGCAGATCAAGCCTTCAATCACAACAGACCCTTGGGGACACTCCAACCACCCAAACCATGGCATATCTATGACAATGACCATTGCATCACTTTTTAATGTGCCCCTGCTTTACACAATCACACTTCTCACATTGCCTGTACTTCTTTTCTAGCTAATCCACGCCCACACACATATTTCCATATCCATTCTTTATTTGATCACACAAGTCATGCAGGCTGCTTTTAAAAAGCTTGCAGGGTTAGACAGAGTAGGATTCTATTGAAAATGGTTCTTGAAATGACAAGATTGCAGGCATGGAGGGTGGACTGGCTGTTGTCTGGGGTTCAGACAAGGCTGGGGAGGGGGGGGGGGGGGGGCACGACCACTGAAGGGTTCCCGGTGGTGATGGGGATGTCCCTGGACCCTTGGCTGTGTCAAGCTCGACATTCCGATGTGAAGAACCACAGGCTCCCTCTCTCCTATTTCTTATAACATTGAATCTGCAATAAAAAGTCCACAGAAGGGGCTGGGGTTGTGGGTCAGGAGTAGAGCACTTGCCTAGCATGTGTGAGGCACTGGGTTCGAATCTCAGCACCACATATAAATATATGAGTAAAATAAAGGTCCATCAACACCTAAAAAACAGAAGTCAACAGAAAAAGAAAGTGTAGGGCTGGAGGTGTGGCTCAGTGGAGAACACCTGCCTAGTATACACAAGGCCTTGGGTTCCATGCCCAACACCCCCCCCACACACACACACACACACACCAAAAAAAAAAAAAAAAACAGCAGGTTTTAAAGCAAAAAAGTCACATTCTTCTATTACTCCACTTCCGGGAGATAACCACTGCAGGTGTGTCTGCCCATCTCAGTCTTCCTCCTCCATTTCGCCATAACCACATGACATCTTTTCACTTACTACTTTTTAAAAGTGCTCCAATTATATAGCAGGTTAACTTAAAGCTTTTATTTAAGTGAACTCGCAAATTTCCAGCAGCTCAGGAGGCTGAGGCACTAGGATCTCAAGTTCCAGGCCAGCCTCAGCAACTCAGGGAGGCCCTAAGCCACTTAGGGAGATCCTGTGTCAAAATAAAAAATAATAATAAAAAAGGACTGGAGGTGGGGCTCAGTGGTAGAGTGTCCCTGGGTTCAATCCCTGGTACCAAAAAAAAAAAAAAAAGCAGAAAAATAATGGCTGTCAAGGAAGGGGGACCCTGGGGTGCGTAGTGGCCGAGGAATCCCCCCCCCCTTACACCGTTTGGGTCTTCTGGGACGGGGTGTCCATGGTGGAGCGCGTGAAAGACTTGCTCTCCCGGCACTGGGATTCCTCGGTCAAAGCGTTGCGGAGAATGCTGGGGAGGGACCTGCGCAGGCGGCCCTGGAAGCCCCTGCCCGCCACCACATAAATGATGGGGTTGATACAGCAGTTAAGATAGGCGACAGAGACGCACAGGGAGTCCAGCTTGCGCACCCGCAGGAAGATGGACGAGGAACTGGGGTACAAAGCCATTATCATCCCTGTCACCTGGTAGGGCAGCCAGAAGATAAAGAAGCTGGTCACCACGGCCACCACCACCTTGAGGGTCTTGGTGGAGCGCGTGGCCTTGCGTCTCCACGTGCGGATCAGGAGGAAGGTGTAG